CGAGGCGGCGCGAGAACTCTCCAACCGCGCCTCCCCGGGGATGCGTTCTAGCGGTGAAGGGGATAACCGGGAAATTCTTACAACATATAACGAGCTCACTAAACATTTCTACCTGTCTAGAAGGATTTTCCCTCCACCTCACAAAAATGTAACCCGGCCCCAAGCACTTACATTAAGGCTTTTGCAAACGCGGATGTACCCTACTTTGAAAATGTTACACATCATGTACCCTGACCTATACCCAAGTAATCTTTGTCCACATTGTGGGAAAATAGCTTCATTAGAACACATGCTCTGGCAGTGCACCGAATTCGCTCATTTATCGCACATCACCTCTGCCAGATGGGAGGCGGCAATCCGCAGCTCATCCTTGGCAGATCAGCTCTGGGCTGTCCACCAAGCCCGCGAGGCGGCTGAGGAGCTTGGCATCTCAGTCCCCACGTGGGAGCTGCCCGCAACACAGTGATATGTGTTTTGGAAGACCAAATAAAAGTTTATCCAATCCAATTCTATGCACGAAGTGACAGAACTCTTTGTTGCTGTTTTTTTTTCACTCAATTAGAATGGTGATGACTTCTTCAAGACGCCAATAAAGTTTCTCACCTTCGTATAACTACTTATTCGGCTTTCGTATTGCACATCGTATACGATACACCACGCCGTCTTACGGAAGTCGTGGCATTCACAAGGATCTCGTCAATTTTTTTTTTTTTTCATCAGCAAATCTTTTGTATTTACAAGGTCGGTGCGGAGCACATAGTAAATGTGTTACGTTGGTTACCCTGCTGTGAAGTGAGGGATTTCTCGTGCGACAGCTACGTCAACTACAGTGATCACCGTGTTGAGCAGAACGACAAGGCTGAATGACTTCTCCCCGTTTGCAAACAGTGCAACGCCACTGCGAATACCCCGCCCACAATCCCTTCCCTCGGGGCAAGTGCTGATTGGCAAAAAAGTTCCGCCAGCGGAATCTTGCTGCGTAGCAGCACTGCGTGTGTCTGCATTTCTTCGGCGGCAGCTTCCGCGAACTTCTTTTAAATGCGAAGAATTTCTTAGCGATCTTCGGCGATTTTGAGCGTATCTATCTATCTATCTATCTATCTATCTATCTATCTATCTATCTATCTATCTATCTATCTATCTATCTATCTATCTAGCCGCTTACGACTTTTAGCTCTCCTGGCCGTTTGAACAATGGTATCAGTAACAAACTTGGTATGTCATAACATGACTGTATGACCAGCCTATTTGACTAGTCATAACACGAAAATCGTGCGATGTAGGTCATGATTGTCATGATTTACATTTCGTAATCTTGCAGCTCCTACGGTGGTTTCCTTCACATGACATGTTGCAAAACTGGTTTGGTATGACATGACTGCATGGCGAACACAAGCGGCAGACCCTAACATGAAAATAGTCCATGTCATGCGTGTCGTGTAACATGACTACATGCCACACTTACGATGCGCTCGCAGCCGTTTCGCTATAGCTTCGCATATACCAAATTTGGAATCACAGGACGTGAATGGATGAAGAAGGTATGAGACTGATGCAAACATGGTAATCGTGAGATGCGTGTGATGTAAAAACATCACTACATGCCGCGCTGATGATGCGCTCGCGGCTGTTTCGCTAGCTTCACTGTTACCAAATTTGGTATTACGGGACGCCAATGGATGGGGAAGGTATGTGATTGGTGCAAACATAATAATCATGAAATGCGTGTCATGTAAGGGCATGACTGCATGCCACACTCGGGCGCCAATACACTTCGACGCGCGCTGGCGTTTGTTTCGTCATGTCACGCCGGCGATGCCACGCCAGGTGCCGATCTGCCTGCCATCTCGCAGGCGCGCGCCGTGCTGCGTTACTTTGACGCATGCGCGTTTGAGCGCGCCAGGCGTCAATCCATCAGGATGCGCCAACGGACGCTGGTCGCGCCTGGCGTCAGATTATAGAGTGCTCGCGTTTTGCTAGCGCAACTTCGCTGCGCCCAGCGCACGCGTCAACATACGTCGGAGTATATTGGGCCCTTCATGATGCGCTGGCGGCCGTTTGGCTAGCTCCAAATATACCAAATTTGGTGTTACGCGAAGTTGATGTTTGACGAAAGTATATGACTGGTGCAAGCGTGATAATCATGACACGCGTGCAATGTAAGAACATGGCAACATACCCCGCTCATGATGCACTCGCGGCCATTTTCCTGGCCCCACATATACCGAATTTGGTAACACGTGACGTAAATAGACGAAGAGGCTAAATGACACGTCCAAACATGATGATCATGATGTGCGTGTAATGTAAAACGTGACTACAAGCTACGCTCATAGCGCACTCGCGGCCGTTTCGCTAGCTTCCCATATACCAAACTTGGTTTCACGTGACGTGAATAAATGAAGAAGGTAAATGGCACGTCCAAATATAATAATTATAATATGGAAGTCATACACGGCATCATTTACCTTCACCTCGTAACGTTAATAGTGCTGATTTT